GAGGGAGGGACAAGCCAGCCCCTCCACCTAGAGCTTCTCCCAGGGAGCACCACCCCTCCCTTGCTCTTGTGGTGTTTTGTGAGCAATGTTTTCTCCATGCCGTTAATTAGCCTTTGTTGTTACCGAGGCACTGCCCTTACCTCTCACAGTGAGTTGTGTTCATTTGTTTAGAACGTTGCTCTGTCTCATAAATTTGTTGGTTAATAGGCCTTTGTTGTTATGGTTTATGGCTACTGCATGGACATTCCAGAATAGTCAAGCACATTTGGGGAAATTTGGAGATTGGTTGGAATAATTGTTAGGGAGGAATGCAGATGTTCTGTGTTCCAAGTGGGCTTGTTAGCCAGATTGGAAATTACTGTTTATATCTCATTCCGGCAGCACAGAAGCTTGCTGGATTGGAATAGTCTCCTTCTCTTCTTCTACTCTCAAAGCCCCCAGGATGCTAGGACCATGCAGTTCAGTTCAACAGCTCTTTATTGAGTGCTAGTTATCTTCAAAGGCTCATGCTAGCAATAAGCCACTAATTCCTATGCATCCTGCAAAGCCCAGCCCAGAATTCCCTGCCTCCTGGAAGCCTTCTCCGATTGCTGCCACCACCACTCTTCCCCCTCCCTAGAGTTAATTCTTTCCTCCCTCTGAGTGGCCTGTGCATCCTGTTTGGGCAGATGTTCTGTGCTGCTCTGTGATTTTTCAAGGGCTGGCCTCTCCGACTAGGCTGTGCACCAAACCTCCGAGCCCAGGGACTGTGTCTCCTTCACGTTCGTATTTCCAGCTTCCAGTGTAAGGCTTTAATGGTCATTTGTGAAGCCTTGAATGAGTGAATGGATGAAGACACCTTCGAAACTAACTTATGTGTTTCTTGGAAGTTTGAACAAAGATGCTCGTGTCTGGCTTGAGTCCCCCTCTCTCCTGGGCTGTTGCAGCAGCTGTCTGTCTCTCTGTCCCCAGCACTGCGGGTCCTGCTGCTCCTCTGCCCAGAAGTCTCCAGTGGCTTCCATCTCACTTTGGGGGAAAGCCAGAGCTTTATGTTGGCCCCTGAAGTTCTGCGTGCTCTGCCTCCTGGACCCCATCGCCCCCAGCTTCCCACCCACAGCACACACTCTGCCCAAGCCACCGGAATGTCCTGCTCCCCCCGGAACAGTCTCCTTTGTCAGAGCCTCAGGTCTGGGTTTCCTCTGCCTGGAACGTTCTTCCTAGATACTTGCGTGGCTCACCTGTTTACTTACTCAGGTCTTTTCTCAAACGCCGCCTTCTCAGTGATGCATTATCTGGACACACACCCCCAACCAGTCTCACTTCATTCTTTTTTTTTTTTTTCTTTTTGAGGCAAGGTCTTGCTCTGTCGCCCAGGCTAGTGTGCAGTGGCATGATCATAGCTCACTGCAACCTCGAACTCCTGGGCTCAAGTGATCCTTCTGCCTCAGCTTCCCAAAGTGCTGGGACTATAAGTGTGAGGCCACCATGCTCGGCCTCACTTCCTTCTTTTCTAGAGCACCTATTGCCTTTTAACATACTGTATGTACCTGACTTATCTGTTTTGTTTTTCTTTCCCCCTCACTGAATGAAGGCAGGGGTTCCCATTGTGTGCCAAGTGATCCCCCCACCAAGGGTCTAGGTCGCACATAGCAGTGGTGACAGCCAACACGTGCATGGTGTGATACGTATCAGGCACTTTTTATGTCAAGATGAATCAACAAATGGAGGAGCTGAGATTTAAATCTCGGCAGTGTGAGTGCTGAACCCTATGCTTTTCTGCCTCTCACAAGTATTTGTTGAATGAATGAATGAACAAATGATTGCGTGACTGCTTATGGTGAGGAGATAAGGTAATTTGGTATTGCCACGTCAGCCTGTGCTGTGGTTGCACAAAACAGAAGACATCAGCCCTCTGTGAGCACCCAGTGGTGCCGGCACCCATGGGGGAGAAGAGGCTATCACGGGGCTTCCACTGCAGTCGTGCCCTGCCGGCAGCTGGGCCAGAGGTGGCTCTTGTAGACGTGGGTGAATTATCATGTATGATTCAGGCAACTCAACTTCTACCTCTGGACCCTGGCAGTGAATAACGGTCAACCTTAGAACATTGTCTTTAGCATCTCAAGGTGCCTTCTTACCAGCCCCCGCATTTTTATCTCATGGGAATTACATAAGGCATGAAGAGCAGATGGTATGTCCTCGTTTTATGCGTGAGCGCAGGCAGAGAGGGCTTGGGAGACAGCTGTGAATTCCCACAGCTGGGAGCAGGGTCCCAGCCCGGACTCCCAGCTCCCTCCTGCCGTGCTCACCAATGAGGCCAACCCCCTGCAGACTGTTGCGTATTTTGCCCACAGGTTCACGTGGCCGGTAAGGGAGAGGCAGGATATGCTCTCAGAGCCGACTGCCTATAGAACCTGGGTTGGGTTTTGCTTTGCTCATTTTTTGTTGCCTTTGGCTCATTAAAAGTTACACAAACACAGGTATTAAAAACACACATGCACAAGCAGTAGGGAAGACCCCTCCTGGATGCTGCTCCTGCCACCCCCCGTGCCAGCACTGCACTCACCTTGGTGCTCAGCGCCCCCACCCCGCAGCATGCGGCCCTCGTGCTCCTGCTGTCACCCTCCACGTGACAGGGTGGGGCGGGAAACATTTCCTCCGTCTGTGCCAGTGCCAGAGCTCTGGGCCCTGAGATGACTGACCAGCTCCCTCACACCGGGTGAGGAAAGGAAGTGTGCAGAAACATAAAATATTCCAGAAGGACACGTATTGAAAAGTACATTTCCTTACCACTCCCGACCCCGTCACTCCATTTCGCTTCCCAGGGAGGAGAGGCTCTTGGAGCAGCACATGTGTGTTCACACATGTCTACGTATCTCCTCCCCAGAGCTTGCCGCAGTGGAAACACCATCCACCACTCCCACTCTGCTTCCCCTTCTCAAGACATCTTAGAGATGTTCCCCCGTTGGCTCAGAGAAAACTGTCTCTTTTTTTGGTTTTGTTTGTCCTTAAGCAGCTATCCATTTAAATATAACCTTCAGATTGTTCTGAGCTGTTCTGACAGGACTGTTGTGCTGTCCCTGCCATCCTGTAGGGGTTTCTCTGCACACGTCCCCATATATCTGTGGGCGAGTTCCCACAGTGGCACTCAGAGCCAGGATCCTAACCACTGGGCTCCCCGAGGGATGGCCTGGCCCACGTGGAGTTCGGCACGGCCCTCGGGTGTCCTGCACAGACAGCGCCACAGCGAGCTCTCGGTGTCAGAGGTGCCTGTGTTCCCACCACTGGCACCTGCTCAGGATCATGTCAGGCACAGCTGAAATGAGACTCCGGGCCCCAGGTCAGAGAGATGTCCCCACTCGTCTTCTAGCCACACTGATGGGTCATCATGCTGCCCTGGTTGCTTCGTGGTCCTCCAGCCCTCTCTGCCCAGCCGCAGGTGATCCTCAGGCTGGTTCCCTCCGCTCCCACTGGGTCCCTGGGATGACTGGCTGTGCCCCATTCTGAGCACCCTCATGCCTTCTTTGTAGGGGGTGCCGTGTTCCTTGTCCTACCACATGCTGCTCAGGCTGTTTCTCTAGTTGTTCAATTGGTGGTTCAATTGTTGTACAGCATGTCCGAGAATAATGATTTGTTCTAAGTCGTTTTGTTGTATTGTCAATGAGAAAAAAAAATTCCTGGCTGGGGCCACCGTTGGTGCGGAGTTCGCACATTCTCCCTACGTCTGTGTGAGTTTTCTCCAGGTACTCCGGTTTCTCCCCACGTCCCACAGACGTGCTCAGTTAAGTTCTCTGACATGTCTACGTGGTCCCAGTCTGAGTGAGTGTGGGTGTGTGTGAGCGTGCCCTGCAATAGGATGGCGTCCTGTCCAGGGCTGGTCCCCACCATGTGCTCTGAGCTGCTGGGACCCGTGACCCTGAAGTGGAATAAACAGGTTGGAAAACCAGCCGTCGTTAGTATACGTACTCGTATTACATGGCGGGATACTTTCCGGACAGACCTTGTACAAATGATTTTACAGTAAAACTCTGTAAAGTACACAACGATCACCTATTAGAGATGTAAGACAATAAATCATGCACTACAGAAGCCCTCAGGGACTCTGCCGTCTTTGTGATTGTTGGTGAGCTATGTGGCCGGAGGAGGTGCTGCTGACAATTTTTGCTTTACGGACGGACATTTGTTCTTTGATTTAACTCACCACCACTACGACCACCGTCACTCACTGACTCTCCATAAATTGGGTAAATAATTATCTTACTTGTTCTTGCTAATCTTTCATAAATCATACATATGGCTCACCTTTATTTTAGTGTTTAATATGAGAAGCATTGGGATCTTTATTTAAAAATGTGATGATGCTTTCGTGACCAGAAACATGCCATAGGATGTTAACTCTCGTTTACGTCAATCAGCCTGCGGTGAAATGGGTTTTGTTGTAGTCTGTTTCTGAGAACCTGTGGACATGGTAAATGAGGACTCACCGTAGTTGTTTTCAGCCAACACGCCCGGAGTCCCTGCAAGGACTAGGCACCGTGTCAGGTGACATTAGAGACGCCTGCAGGGTCCTCAGTGTGATCCTTCACCTCATGGCGTCAGAATCTTGCCATTGGGATAAAACTAGCACTCCTGAAACAATGCCATGTTAGGGAACTGCCAAATCAGAGTAGACACAGTGTCACTGGATTCAGAGGTGGCCTGAAGATGGGCCTTGAAAAGTGAGGGAGATGGCGGCAGGCGTGGCGCTGCACATGTGACAGGCGTTCCCTCTTTCCCTTGAGCCCTGTGTGAAAGACGCTGATGTTGTCCGCTCTTGTGGTTGAGGAAGCTGGTGACTAGAGAGGTCAAGACCTGGCCCGAGGTGGCGGTGTAGGTCAGCCTCATTCCAGCCCTGGTCTGTCCCCACCCCTTCCCTCCACCGCTCTCCCCGTGTGGTGCGGCCCATGGCCGGGGCTGCTTGGCAGGGCTGGGAATCCCCAATTGTATCCTTGGTCCCTTGGCCAACAGCTTTGTTGTCATTCTAGGACTTCTGCCATGGGCAAGTGATGTGGCCGCCCCTCAGCGCCCTGCAGGTGAAGCTTGCTGAGCCCGGGCAGTCCTGCAAGCAGGTGTGCCAGGAGAGCCAGCTCATCTGTGAGCCTTCTTTCTTCCAGCACCTCAACAAGGACAAGGACATGCTGAAGTAAGTGGTGGGGGGCAGGGGGTATGGAGGTGGACAGCTCAGCCTCTGTAGACTCCAGCTTGCCTCTGGGCTAGGCTTGGGTGAGTGGTACCAGGTTTCAGTTTCCAGGCTTGTGGGCTTTGGGGACAAGGTGTGGGAAGGGGAGCAGGACACAGCACGTTCCCCTCAGAGAGAATTAGCCCAAGCTTGTTAGTCAGGTGAGATGAGGTTGCTGTATTTAGAATTTGAACAGGGGTGCCGTGTTCGCATAAACAGCGCCGTGTCTGAGCTTGGAGACTGTGGGAGGTGTTCAGTTTGCTAATATTGGCCCCAAGAACAATGGGAGGGGAGGTGGGTACAGAGCCATAGGCATAAACGGACCCCTGGCAGCAGTGGGGTCTCCAGATGGCCCCCAGCAAAGCCCGAGTAGTTCAGGGGACGGGTGGCAGCCTTCGACCCCAGAGTCAGAAAGGAATGAGAAATACGTAGAAGGAACTGGCACCAAACTGCTCATGACAAATTCCATGTACCGCCTTCCCCTCCTGTGTCCCCGTTCCCTTTTGCACTTTGTTCCGGACCTTTGGCACCTGGTGCACCATGTCCCATGGCAGCAAGGTGGATGCGGCACCAGGCACGCTGGCCCAGGGCCGCACACAGGAGGGTCTTCAGTATTCCTTGGATTTTACCTCTCGTTTGCTGTCTTAGTCCATTTTGCATTGCTATAAAGGAGCACCTGAGACTGGATGATTCACAGAGAAAAGAGGTTTATTTGGCCCAGGGTTCTGCAGGCTGTACAAGAAGCGCGGCGCCAGCAGCTGCTTCTGCTGATGGCTTCAGGGAGCTTCCAGTCAAGTTGGAGGATGAAGGGGGAGCAGGCATGTCACATGGCGAGAGAAGGAGCAAAAGAGGGAGTTAGGTGGTGCCAAGCTCTTAAACAACCAGCTCTCATGTGAACTCGTTATCTCAGGGAGGGCACCAAGCCATCCATGAGGGATCTGCCCTGTGACCCAAACGGACCCCACATTCAACACTGGGGCTCAATGTCAACATGAGATTGGGAGGGACCGGGCACCCAAACCATATTATCACTTGCGTTACTTTTAGTGATGCCCTGGGTTTTCCTTTGTGTCGGCATTTTGGGTTTGGCTTTTGTAGTCCCTAAATTTCCATGTGAGGTTTCTTGCCTCTGACTCGTGACCCGTCAGGGCTTAATCTCCCTATTTTTATCATGCCCCGTGCCAGCCCACAGATTGCTTAATTGTCCAGCCTCCCCACCCCCATCCTCTACCTTAGTAGCTCTGCTGAGGCGTTTTCTCCGAGAGACTTGCCTGTACATAATAAGACACTGTCCCAACTGCAAATACTCTGTCCAGCAGCTGGACTGCCCCCAGCTTGAAGAGCACATCTAGGAACAGGGAGTGGACGTGGGGCTCCGGGTTCGCCCATCCTGGTCCTGGCTTCACACTCTGCTAGTGCTGTCAGCCACTGTGGCCATCTGTGCGCAGTGATCTCTCGGCCTGGTCCCTCCCGTGAGTCATCCTAGCCTCAAGTGTGCTGAGACATGCTTTTTATGGAGAGTGTAATTTCACACTTTGTAGGAATCTTCTCTTGTCAGGGAGGATGTGTGGCCTCTGGAGTCTCGCCTGCAGGGACGCTCTCCTGAGCAGGCACGTGGGCAATGCTATTTTTTCCCCTTCTTTTTATGGGAAGACCAGGCACAGAGGCTGCCCCAATTCCACCATCAAAACAGAGGCCCAGGCCAGAAGAGGGAGGTCCGTGTGGCGAGACCAGGGAAGCTCTGTAAGCGTGGGGTCTGGTGGATGTGGAAAGCCGCTGATGGTACTCGAAGCATCCGATTCCACAGCACAGATCCTGCATCCTGGGGTTCCATGAGGGGCTTTCCACCAGCCCCTTTTGCAGACAGCCCCCAGAGCAAGGTGGCATTTTGAGAACCCTGAGTACTCTCTCCACACAGAAGTCTGAATTCGCTGGGTACAGACGGGGGGACTGTACACGGTACCGTCTACATCAGCCCACTTCTGGAAGAGGGAACGTGAGACACGCGTCCTGGGAAGGGGACCCGAATGGGAGCCCTGAACGTGGCAGCTTCTTTCCTGGCCAGGCAGGAGTCAGGGCTCCCGTCCCAGAGGCCGTAATCAGGGCCTGGTTTGGGGCTGACACGGGGCGCCACACAGGCATCCCACCTCCAAGGGTGCAGGTCAGCAGGGACACAGCTGGGCGAGTGGCCAGTTCCCTCCATTCCATCAGTTTTCTCATCTGCAAAATGGGGACATCCTGGGTGGTGGTGAGATATAATGTATAGCCCTTGCCAGAGATACAGCAGAGCGAGCAGCACCTTCCTCAGAGCTTTGGGTGTCGGAATAGGCCTGAGGCCACCTGGCCAAGCCTGGAAAAGCCAGTCCCCTGCCCTGGCCTCCCTCCCTCCCTACCTCTGTACGCCATGCAGGGTCCACGAGAACTCAGTGTGGGGCTGCCCTGCAGCCAGGCCCTGTACTGTGGGATCGCTCACCCCTACCCCACTGCAGAGATGAGGGTTTTCTTGCAGGAGGCTGGAATGAATGCTAATTTTGCAATAAATCCGTCCGAATTTAATTTTCTGAACATAAGAGCCCTACTGAATAACTTGTTCATGCATTTGTAAATACGATAATATTGTGAAAGCCCAGCTATCTGGCGGTCTATTGAGTGCCTCCTCAGCGTGGAGGTAATCCTGGTCCATCCATATTCATGGCCAATTAGCAATTAGCAGCTCCTGCAAGCTGGTGCTGCTTTCTCTTCTCCAGCTTGGGGCCTGGTTCTGAGCCAGGCTTAAGCTCCTTTCAGTCTTTGAGTATCCACGGCCTTTAAGAGCCTCCTGTCCTCACTGTGTAGTGTGACTTCTGTATATCACGTCAGTGGAGCCTTGGGAGCATCCTGTGTTGTCATCTTGAATCAGGGAGGGTTGAGTTCCTTGAGTTCCTGCGCACGCAGCTACAGTTCAGTCTGGAGAGGCCGCCGCAAAGCATGCAGGATTCAGGTGTGACCCACCCTCTGGACAAGACTCCTCCCGGGCCAGGATGGGGGCTTGGAAGGTGGAGGGCCCGGAGAAGTGCCAGAGTCCATCCCAGTGTGGCCCCGTGGGCAGGACTCAGCGCCATACCTAGCAACACGTGTTCACGTGAAGCCCGGTTTGTAAGTTCGCTACCTCTTAAAGTTGCGTCTTCTGAAATTTGGCAGTGTTGGCAGTCGGGGTTGCTCTGTGAGAAGCGGGAACGCTAAGTGGTGCAGTCTAGACCGCGAGCTCTTTGGCACCTGGGAGTAGGGAGACAGCCCTGAGTCCGAGTGGGCACAAGGGGACTTGGTGGGACAGGACTGGCAGGCACAAAGGCCCCGGAGAGGGGGCGGGGGGAGGAAGGTGCTCTAGGGCAGGGCGAGTGCAGGAGCCGGGCAGCAGGTGGGACAGCGGCTTCTCAGCCTAACGCCTGTGATGGCAGGCACGTGGCAGGGGGCTTTGCCTTCTTGTCCTCCTTCAAGAGCTATAACTCGTCAGCTGAGGGCCGATGGCCCAGGAGCCCTGGCCCCTTCCTGTAGGAAAAGCTCTTCAGGCCCTGGCAGGAAGTCAGCAGCGCAGGAGTGTGTGGGGACGTGAGGAAGACATAACAGGGACAGAGGCAGGCATAGTACGTGTACCCCTAAAAAGCCAGGGGCCTCCGAGGGAGGCTGTCTGGTCTCTCAACGTGCTCTAGTGACGGGAAAGTCGCCTCGACTCTCTGGTGCCTTTTGCTAACTAGTTCAGCATAGACGATACAGTCGCCTTCCTGAATGCCCAGGGCTGTGGGAGAGCTCCCTGGGGGGCCTAGAAGACGCTCAGGCCAGGGGGTTGGATGGCACCCGGAAGTGGCACCCACCACGGGCCACAGCACCGCATCCACTGAACCTTGGGGGAGCTACCGCCTGACAGGCCTCACCCGTGGCTTCGGGAAGCGTTTGCCGTGTGAGCTTGGGGGCCTCTGTGCATCGCCGGGCAGGCTTCTGCCACTGCTGGTGGCCTCAGCCGGGCCGTGTGGGCTCGTCCCCTAGGAGGTGGCGTCCTGGAGCCTGAGCCCAGGTGACCCGGGAGGGAGCGAGAGGGTTTCCTTGGCTCCTGACAATTGCACCCCGCACCGTGGGGTCCGAGAGGGGTTGTGGAGATTCCCACGCTCTGGTTAGCCTGCCGGGCAGAGGGAGCGGGCGTAGCAACTGCTGTAATTCGCCTAAATAAACAAATGTCATAAGTGTAAATCCGTGTCCCGAGGCCACGTTCCCACGTGTAAACTTTCCATTCAAAATTCAGCTCTAGATCCCCCCCCTCTGTGTGCTGGCCGGTCAGGGTAGCCTGCGAAGGACCTGGGAGCTCCAAGTCTGACTCATTTTTCCTTTTAGGAAATCCATAAAAATCCCACCTCCTGCCCTCTCCCTTCATGGTTCATGACCTTGAACCCGAGCGCTGCCGTGTCCCAGCTGGCAGCACGAGCAGGGTGTTGGGGGGTGTGGGGAAGGCACAGAGCCCCCCTGGCAACTGCAGGGGCAGGATAAGAGGGGCCTGCTCTCCGGAGTGGCCCCGGGCTCCTGGCCTGGCCCCGTGTGCAGCCACAGCCGCAGGCTCTGGGGAGATGAGGCCAGAGGGCCAGGGACGTGCGGGTCCCAGAAGCAGTTGGGGCCTCGGCGAAGCCGAGCAGGATCCAGGCCAGCAGCCCTGGAGAGCTGAGCAGATGTGCTGGGGATCGCTGGAGGAGTGTCAGCAAGGGCGGCAGGCCCCGGGGAGCCGTCGGCTAGAGGAAGACAGGATGCAGCAGCGCCAGGGAGAGTGACGCCTCGTGCCGTGCATGCGCAGGCGCACACGCAGTTGGTGTGGAAGCTTCCCGGAGGCAACAGGAAACCTCAGGCTCCCAATCCTGATCCCCTCCCTATCGGCAAGAAGTGAGACTTCCATGAACAAAGCAAAACGGAAGTGGTTGGTGTGTGTGTAAATTCACATCGACGGGCAAAGGAGGAAGGTGGCATAGCATCCCGTGTCTGCCAGGGTAGAGTGACGACAACAGTGATGATGACCGTCGCAGTGACAGTTACCATTTATTGAGCACTGACTCTGAGCGCGGCTCTCCCGAGTGCTGCAGAGGCCCAGTGAGTTGATGGCCCCGGCTGTACCGTCTATTTGATTGCTTTCCCGTGGGAGACTAAGGCTGTGTAACAGGAATGTTTTTAAGCCTTTAACAAAAGTTAAACATACTTTAAAAAAAATATTTAAATAATGCATAGCTTTGCCCAGTCTCACTTCCTTGAAAGCAACTATTGCTAGTGTGTTAGTGTGCAGCCTTCTTGACCTTCGACCCTCATGCGCACACACTGGGCTGATGACACGTGCGTCCTGTTCTGGAACTCGCCTCCCTCCAGCACGGCGCTTGCGCTGGAGCACACATTTCCCCCTCGTTCTTTTTCAATGGCTGCAGAGAACTCCAAAAGCACAGATGGGCCATGATTTATTTGGCTGTGTCCCCCTTGGTGAGTATTTGGGTTGTTTCCAGTTTTTCTCCATCACAGGCGACACTTCACTGGCAGCTTGAACACAACACACGCCCCTGCACACACGCCCTGGTGCACACATGCCCTCTCCAGCCTAGATGCCTAGGAGTGGAGGGTTCGGGGGTCCGAGGGTGGGTGCCATTTCATTTCTAAGGCAGGAGAACCTCCCCCCACACCTCAGGAGGCTGCTGATGGCACCAGTACGAGGACAGGCCCTGTCCTCTGCATCACCGACTGATGTGCCTTTCTCTTCCTGTTCAGGTATGAGGTGATCTGCCAAAGCTCAGAGCTGGCCAAGGACATCCTGGTGCCCTCCTTCGACCCCAAGAACAAGCACTGTGTGTTTCAAGGCGACCTCCTGCTCTTCAGCTGTGCGGGTGCCCACCCCAGGCACCGGAGGATCTGCCCCTGCAGGGACTTCATCAAAGGCCAGGTGGCTCTCTGTAAAGACTGCCTATAGCAGCCACCTGCTCAGCCCCACACCATGCTGCTGGGACGGACAAGGGCTCCAGCCCCATCGGGCAGGGCCGGGGCAGAATTCATTCAGGGACTCTGGCCAGAGCCCGATCTTTTTGGTGGAAGTTTAAATTTTGGTGTTGCTCTTGCTGTGGTCAGAGCAGCCCAGTGGAGTCCTCACCAAACAAAAGGAGAGCAGATACCAGGCTGGGAGTCTGGCTTCTCCCGGCACGGTGCCATTTCTGTTTCTTGAGGAGCAACTGCGGGTAGACTCCGTGGATACAGCTGCTCCAGGGTAAAAAGAGAGTCTCAAGAGTCATTTAAAACAAAACAAGAGGAGAGGGATTGAGCCGATTGGAAAGAACTTTGAATGGGAACATTCCTAAACCCATTAACTTATTTATTTGGGAGGGAGGGAGGGGAAAGAGGGAGGGAGAAGAGGGCTTAATCACACCTTTCTTCTTTTATGTCCACTGTTAGTCATCCACCTTTGCTATACTGTTGTTCTGTCTGCTCCGGGTGGGGTGCAGGAGTCGGCAGGGTGTGCCGTGGGGCTGGTGGCATGTTCAAGGACAGCATGGGGACCTGGCTGCTCAAAGCAGGTGGCAGTAGAGCAAAAGAAAATCTTGCTTTGGAAACACAGCCAAACTGTCCAGGGCATTGTTGTAGATGGCAGCTAGAGGATAGGCACCCCCCGGGCACAGGGGGATGTGCCTGTGTTGTCCAGAGACCCCAGCCAGGGACAAAAGACGGGGTGGACCCCTTTCTTCCACGTCCCCACCCCCGGACACATGCCTTGGCCCTAATTTCTAGTTAGGATCCCTTTAGGAAAGAAATGCGGGGTTGGAGGATTGAGGAATTTTGCTACTTTCTGGTAAATTCTCCCTCCCTCCTTCCCTGTGCCACCGTGAGGAGAGAAGCAGAGATGAGGCGCTCGCAAAGCTGCTCTTGGACTTGGAAGGCCCCAAAGAGGGTTGTCTTTGAACTGAGAGTTGGACAGGGTGAAGTTGGTCCTTAAGAACTGGTGTCATGACTGGAGATGGGCCCCTGACAGTGGCCTTGTGTATGTCCCCTCTGATACCACCAAAGTCCAGGGAATTGGCCTCTTGGAGAACGTGATGTCCACTGGGGAAGCAGGGCAGCTCAGCAGGAACGAGGTGTGGCAACTGTCCTGGCTGCGTACCTGTGGGTGCGTCCTGCGAGGGCTGGGAGTCTCGTGCGGGCTCTTCCTTTAGGTGGAATTATTCTGACAGGGAGGAGCCGCTCAGTGGTTGGCCTCGTCACACGCATTGGATCCCACCCTCCAGCCTGGAGCCCTGTGCTCTGCCTTGTTGCTGGGCCCGGACAGAGCCTCCCTCTGCTCGGGCCCAGCAATGAGAAGGGCAGAAATCCGAAGGAAACTTTGCTGGGTAGAGTGAGTTCCTGCCTCCCCGGAAGCAGTGCTTCCTTCCACGTTCCGTGTGTGAGTTCGTGGGTTTCCTGTGAAACCCCTGACACGTCCAGGCCAGGGAGAGATCCCTCTTCCACCTCGTGCAGGATGTCCCCGAGAGGAGCTGTCAGCATCATCCAGCCCTTGCAGGGCACCTTGGCTGCTTGGTTCTGTGCTCCATGCCTACGGCCCTGCGGTTCCCAACACTATGTCTGCTGTTGGGCGGGGGGCACAGCAAGGTGCAGCCTCTGCCCGGCAGAGCAGAGGGCCAAGGCCAATGGCTGGGGGGCGTTTCGGGAGTGAGGCAAAGGAAGAACTCTGCTTCGTGGGGACTGGAGGGAACGTGGAGCCTTTAAGTCTGGGAAGTTAGGTTCTTCCTCCTTGGTTTATGCCCCAGTGCATGGATAATCCCAAACGTATAGCCAGCCTTTGTCCTTAGGCCCTCAGATCCCTGCTCGGTGGGTCTGAACTGCACCTCCGGTCGAAAAGAATGCAGAGGGGCTGGGGAAGAGCACCCGGAGTCTCTTCCATCATGACAGGGACCCCCTGGCTAAGCATAGCCTCTGCCTGGGCCCAGCAACGAGAGGGCGGACATCCAAAGGACAGAGTGAGAGAGAGAGAGAGAAAGTTTGTGTGTGTGCGCGTGCATTCTTTTAAGCTTTGTAAGGGCAGTTTCCTTCGGTAGGAGGGCAGACAGGTGGCATGCTGGCTGTGAGGAAGAGCTTTTCCCTGGCATGGGCCTCTTGGCTGCACCCAGGAGTGTGGGAATCTGCTGGAGTACCCAGACCTGCCGTTCCTGGTCCAGCGCTGCCCTCTCCTGGGCTCTTCCAGGATCTCCGAGCACTAAGGCTGTCAGTGCTGGTGTTCTGTCAGCAGAGGGCGCCCATGGGCCGGGACTGCCTGCCCCGCCGCGGCAGGTTCCCGCGCTCGGTGGAGGGCTGTTTAGACTACGCGGCAGCTAAGGAAGCGGGGAAGAAAGCCATGTGGTCCCTGCCTGGTGTCCCAGAAGCTGCAGGGATCGTTTGCTGCCCTGAGCGCAGGGCCTCTCCACCTTCCTGTTCCTCTTTTCCAAGGCGGGGTGGGGTGGCTGCTTTGGAGGCAAAGAAATCCACACTCCAGTTGTTAAGGGCATTATCGATAGAGCCAGTAACCCCTAAATGTATGCTGGCTTCCAGGCTTCTTCAGACTTGGTCCAGATCTGGTCACTGACCCTGGGGAAGAAATTGGGAGAGGAGCTTCCATCTGCCCTGCGTGGATGAGGAGAGGAAGGCGCCCCTGACGGTATGCAGTGGTTTTGCCATAGCTGGTCGTAATAGAATCCTAAACTGATTTGTAATGACAGTGCCACGGGGAGAGAAATCCTAAATCAAGATTAACGTTTCCCTGTGCTATAAACATGCCTTGCGTGGTTTTTGGATGACTTTCCCCGTTATGATCCTAAGATCTTAAAAACTTGATTTGGAAAACATTTATCTAATTTACTAGAAGAGACAGAGCTTTCTTTTGAAAGGTAAATGCTTTCAGGAGTTAAAACTCCTGAAAGGAGAAACACTTCTTTGAATGCCAGTAAACACCTCATTTATTTCATGTATGCAGTTTGATTTGCACATGTATAAATGGAGACGCTTTTTGCATTTTTGCTTTGATTGGGTTTTTGTCACTGCTTATTATAGTTTGCTTTTTTGTGTGTTTGGAGATATTAGAGTCTGTTTTTTTTTTTGGCGAAATTTGTTTTCCTGATGTGCTTTTTTACTTTTCTTTGGAGTTGGTTTTTGGAATCTGGGTGCTGTTGAAGGATGATAGCAGACTCCTCCAGCTTGGAGACAGGATGTGTCCTTGGGTCACTGAAGCTGTTCAGGCTGGGCACCGGAAGCACCTTCCAAAGCCCCCTAGGCCGCGGAGCATGTGCATACACACACCCTCCTCCTCGGGGAGGACATGAAGCCGTGAGAACCCCAGGGAAGGGGCTGGCTTCCTGCAGAGCAGCCCACGCCCGCCTGGACTGCTTGGCCGTATCTTTGGGTCTGTCTCGGGACTGCTAGTTGCCAGTGTGCTGACAGCCTGTGCTCCCTGCCACCCGTGTGCTTGCTAAGGTGTGGTTACATCAAAGGAGTACCACGTCCTGCTGAGCTCAGAAATAATTCACCTAGTTAGTATCATGAAAGGGAAAGAATGTGCACCTGTTTTTGTTTCCTTAGCGAACGCAGGATTTAATGAAGGTGATTACTGGCTTCCCTTTTGGGAGTAGAGCCTTAGTACAACTCATTGGTAGTGAAGACATCAATGGATTAGACTGAAAACTGTGTGTTGGTAGGTAGGTGTGTGCTTTTTAGAGCAGACCAAGGTGGTTTACCTAGATTATGTATATAATTAGACATTGCCACCCTCCCCCATGGCCAAAAATTATTGATTTTTTTTTTTTTTTTAAAGTCTATTTTGTTAACGACAGGCTCTGTTGTATGTGTTACTATCCCAAGCCTGGATTGTTTTATTTATTTAAAAATATTTTAATTTCCATATTGGCTTTATTCTAATCCCATCCATCGCTGTGGGGCTGCAGAGCATCTTCATGTGACTAGATGGGGGGACATAAATAGACTGATACTCATTTTTAGGGAGCTAGGAATTTCGTAAAGGTGAGGGTGAGTTCCTGTTATTCCTGTTGGCTTCAACAAAAAGTGGAAAGCCAAGTTTTTATAGCAAAAGACCAAATTAGCTGTATAGTCTTGGATGCAGAAAAAAAATTGCCCTAGCTTTCTTAGCACTTAGGGTTTCGTGAGGATTCAGTGTTTAGCACAGTGCTGGCACCTAGTGAGCCCTAGTAAATGTTAAATATTGTTGTTGTTATTAGTGTTCCATAAAACTGGAGAAAGAGCTGAGCTCACTCCCTACCTGTTGACTCAAAAACAATACCCACATGAAAATATTATTCCACGTTGATTGAATGTTGTAGGAATTACTGGTTTAGAGTGTCCAAGTTCTGTGCCTACCCTGCTGGTTGAAACTTACTGTATCCCTCAATGCACTGCTTTGAAATTATGCCAGACTTCAGCCCCCAGTAGAAACAAGGCTGCAAGGGTGTATAAACTGAAGCTGAAAAGGATAAAGGTGACCTTTGGTCACATATTGGACCTCACCCCACTGATGTCTTCCAGAACATTCCAGGAGTTTTAAGGAACATTTTTGAGCTACAAATTAAAATGAGTTCTCTGACACACTGTACCCCTCGAATCAAAGTTAACACTATTCCTCTGAAATGCAATAACGGAGGCTTTGCTGTGTTACTCAAGGGGGGAGGAAAGACCACTTGAACGTCCACGTTCCCCAGGGTGTCCCTTTGCTGCCCCCTGCTGGCTGGGGCGGCCCCTCTGGGCCTCGGGGATCAGACTGCCAGGCTGGTTCCCTCTCACGTTCCATCAAATTATAGGTCGATTCCCTGGCCTGTCCCAGGGAAAACTCATCCAGCCCATGGGGGAAGCCAGCTGAGGCAGCAGGGCAGGTGTTTCGGCCTCTTAATGTTTTCTTAAACCACCTATATTCCAGTTTGATTTTTGTTTTGGGGGGCATCTGGCCTC